TATAAACACAGAAGCAAAAATTTACACCATGTTGAAGGTCTGAGCTTTTTCTCTTTTCTCCTCAACAAGAATTCCACAGAATTTGTTGGCCTCTGAAATTCAAAAGCATCGCTGATGCTAAAATAGATCAGCTTTGGTTGAAATCTGACAACTACATGGCACACGGATTTTGCTCGAACTTTGGCCATTTTCTGAAAACTTGTTTGACGTACTTACATGTGGTCAGAGGATATTTATAGTTTGCTCAATAACCTCAAAACTCTTAATTTAGAAGCAACAGGTACATGGAATGACTCACCAAGTCCTGTTGATCATCTTTCTAATTCCAATTTAGAATGCAGTGCCTTCTCCTTCTCTCTGTGGCAACTGACTTATTAGAAATCTTATTTCTTGCTTCTATTACCACTTTGGTGTCCTAGTTGGTTTCTTTGCCCTCTAGTCTTACTCTTCTCCATAGAGTTGTCATAAAAATCCTCTCTTTTTTCTTATTTCCAAATTAAAATACCACAACCATTCCCTGGTGGTATTCACGGGCTCACATCTGAACTTCTTACTATGACATAGAAATGCCTTCATGATCTGGATCCAGCCAACTTCTGCATCAGCCTCTCATTTCTCTTTTACACACTTGAGGTTCCCCCAACAGGTCACATTACTCTTTTGTCCTCCATGCTTCGGTGCAGAAGCATGTTTTTTCTTCCTGGAACAGCACACTCTCCTTTTAATTCTTATTTGTTCAACATCTCCTAATCCTGCCAGATTCAGCCCAGTCACCACCTCCTCCCAGACCCCTCAGACTAAGTTAGATGCCAGTGGGTTCCCACAGCACCTTGTACTGCTTTTCAGTCTCCTGATCTCCTGGAGGGCTAGCGCTGTGTCTTACATTTCTGATATTTTTCTTAGTGCCTGGCACAGGTCCTCAAGAAGAACCATTCATTTTGTGAAATGAATGGATGAATGAATGCGGTAGATATTGTGCTTTACTTTCTCATTTAAGGAAAACGAAGTAAATGAGTCAGGATCATGTACATTCTTGAGAATTTTGGACTATGGTTGAGCAAAAGTGCTGCGCAAGAAGACCCTGGTTGGCCTTGTTTGGGGTTGTTGACCAAAATTTAGACTTCTGACTTCCTGGGTACACAAGAAGCACAGTGCTATAGAGTTCTACCATTTAAGTATGTGGAGGGAACACCAGGCCCCTAGAGCTTGTCCCACCTACACAGTAGATTACCTAAGTTGATATGAAGTTCCTATGCACCCTGGAGTTTGGGAAAGGCAGGTGAGGGTTGCAAATGGTGTTGGCAGCATTCTTTATCAATATGTTCTAATATATCCCAACTAGAATCTCCTTTATGAAATGTAAAAGTTTCAGTGAGTAGATCTTTCAAGAGCAGATCCATTATTATTTAAAATTTGCAATTAAAATGGAATTTAATAATCCTTAATATATATTTATAAGTGTATAAGTAAGAGCTTGAGGTAATTTTATCATTTAATCCCCAAAATGACCCTAAGATACAGGAGCTTTATTATACCTATTTTACAGATAGGGAAACTGAGGCTCAGAGCCATTTAATAATTTACATAACTTTCCAAAGTCACACATTTACTGGTGGTGGAGTTTGGATTTGAAATTATATGATCAGACATCAGGGCCTTGTACTTTTAATTAATCACCTCTCTGAAACCCAGGGAGAGCAACATGTGCACATTTTCAGTTCTTTTTATTGATACTGTGTCAACAAAAGCATATGAGTTTTTAACTATATAAACAAGCTAGCAAGATATGAAGCATGAATATTTAAAACTAAGAATCTGGAATATAAGTAAATATGTAGAGAAAATATAATTCTTCTAGCTGCACAAGCCAGAGGTGATTATTTGCAATGTAATAACAAAAAAAAACTGAGATCGGAGAGAGTTATGCTGAATTGTCCAAGGTCATAGAGTGGTTGAGATGGATTCGAAGAAGAGTTGTCTTATTCTGAAATCTTCATGAGGCCTCAGCTATTGGGTACTGGGAAGGCTCTTACTTAAACTTGTCATGGAAATATAGAGCAACAGTAAGCTTAATGCCAGAAATCCTGCTTATTGCTTACCATATGACCAGAAGTTAAGATTGAGTCAATGATTTTCGCCACTCAAAGCCAACTGTTCTGGTATTAAAATGAGCTAAGTACCATAATGAGATGCCACTGCATACCCATCAGGGTGGCTATTATCAAAAAGATAGAAAATATGAAGTATGGGCAAGGATAAGAAGAAATTAGAACACTTGCATGTGGTTGGTGAGAATGTAAATGGTGGCCACTAGAGAAAATGATTTGGTGGTTCTACAAACAATTAAAAGTAGAATTACCATATGATCCAGAAGTTTCAGTTTCAGGTATATACCCCCAAATAACTGAAATCAGGGACCAAAATAGGGACTCATGTCCCTAGTAGCATTATTTGCAATAGCTAAGGGTCCATCAGCAGATGAATGGATAAACAAAATTTGATATCTATACACAATGGCACAGTATTGATTTATTCTTAAAAATGAAGGAAATTTGGGACGCCAGGGTGGCTCCCAAAACGTCTGGCTTCGGCTCAGGGCGTGATCCTGGAGTGCTAGGATCGAGTCCCACATCGGGCTCCCTGCATGGAGCCTGCTTCTTCTCCTTCTGCCTATGTCTCTGCCTCTCTCTGTGTCTCTCATGAATAAATAAATAAAATCTTTAAATAAAAAAAAGGAAGGAAATTTGACACATGCTGCAACATGATGAGCCTTGAGGACATTATGTTAAGTGAAATAAACTAGTCATAAAGGACAAACACTATATGATTCTACTTATACCTAGAGCAGTCAAATTCATAGAGAGTAGAATGGTGGTTGTCAAGGGCTGGGGTGGGGAGAATGAGGAGTTCTTTAATGGGCTCAGAGTTTTAGTTTTGCAAATGAACAGAGTTCTGGAGCTGGACGGTGGTGATGGCGTGCACCATACACATATTGGTGTCACTGAACTTCACACTTATCATGTAAATTTTATGTGTATTATATAATAATTAAAATTACTTAAATAAATGAGCTAGCTGGGTGTGTCAGTTAGTGTCTAATCAGGAACACAGACGCCCTTCAAATCCTTCAAATGGAAGAAATTGTGATACAATTGGTCACATATGACAGCCAGAGTATGTTGAGAGCACCAGAGGTTTGTGTGATCAAGAGGTTGGTCCCATACCTAGGGTTGGAAGCCCATGGCAGAGGAGGATGTATGACCTAATCCTAGAATCTGGGACGTATGATGGGAAGGAGAGCCACAGAGGGTGCTGCTGGTGGATGCAGCCGGCAGACAGACAGAGCACCCCAGCTGCTCCCCTCCTTGTACTCGCCTGTTTTCTACCAATGCCTCCCATGGACTTAAACAAATGAGAGACAAGTTAGCAAGGGAGCCCAGAAATGCAGTTCCTTGTGACACCAAGCAGAGCAGGGGACACAACAAATGGAATGAAGAACAGGTTTGAGAGCAAGGTGGCAAAACAACACACAGGGCCATGCAAGATTTCTTTCCTTGTCATTTAAAAAGCTCCCAAATTCCTGTAAAGACTTTAAAAAATCTCTCTACATTGACTTTCAAACATTACAATGCTCAGTGATACTGGCTAATCCCAATTAAATTAATTTACCTTCTGCAGGTTAGATACATTCAAAAAGAGTCTATGGAGAAATATATTTGAACAGAGGTTCAGTTTTGGATATTATTCAATGCTTCAGAGACTGTCTCTTGGCAGACCAACTGATAGTCATCCTGAGCTAAATGGTATTCTATTTTACATATATATATGTATTTTACATGTATATGTGTATGCATATATCTATACACATACATACACATATATGTATTTTACATATATGTAAAAATATAACATTTTAAACCAAATATAAATTTATAAAATATAAAAAATAAAAATATTTTTGTAAAGATACATTTTTAAATTTGTAAACATGAAAGTATAAAATACATAATTATAAATATATAATGATATGCAATTTATATATATCTATCTGTTTGTAACATGTACACTCTGATGGAATAAGACTCCTGCTATTCCTTTAAACTCACTACCTTTTTCCTTCACTCACCCAAATCTAAGAGAGAGTTCCTTTTCCTTGCAACCTTTACAGTCCTCAGTGTACTTCAGGAATATAATGCTTATAACAGTTGTAACTTTTTGTTGATTCATCTATTCTTTCTGCAAAAACCTATAAACTATTGGAGAGCAAAGACAGTGTGTGTGTGTGTGTGTGTGTGTGTGTATATGTATTTTTTCTTATGTATTTACAGTATGCCTGTGTACTATTGTATCTTTATCACTAACAAATAACCACCAATGTGGGGCCAGTTATGTAGTAGGTACTCAGTATTTTTGCAAGAATGGATAAGCTGCTTGATGAAGAGTTGACAGGTTCGAGCAACTGAAGATGGGGCCAGGGGAATAGGAGGAGTGAAAGCCACAGGTGAGCTGTTCAGTACCGATGATGGGGAGGGTGATGATGCTTGGTTTTAAAGTGAATCCGGCTTTTGAAACAATTGAATGGACCATCAGAACTGGGAACTGGGGGCAGCTCGGGTGGCTCAGCGGTTTAGCGCTGCCTTCGGCCCAGGGTGTGATCCTGGCGACCCGGGATCTAGTCCCACGTTGGGCTCCCTGCAGGGAGCCTGCTTCTCCCTCTGCCTCTCTCTCTCTCTCTCTCTCTCTGTCTCTCATGAATAAATAAATAAAATCTTAAAAAAAAAAAAGAACTGGGAACTGGCTTCAGGAGAAATGTCAGAGCTTGGAGGTAAAGATTTGAAAGTCATCTTTATAGTGGAGGAAGCAGGCTGTGGCAGCTGGTTTCTTCCATGTATGGCTGTGACAGTGTCCCCTCCTGTTCTGCATGCTCTTCTGGTACTTTCCTATTTCCCCATTGAGAGGTGGAGTCTCTGTCACCTCCCCTTGAATGTGGGTGGGCCTTCATGTTTGCTTCAGTTGATAGTATAGCAGAAACGACACTACGTGCCCAAGTCCTAAAAACGCCTCCCTTTATTAGATTCCTTTTGGGAACCCAGCCACCATACGGTGAAGAAGCCCAAGCAGCATTTGGTGAGGCCCACGTGGAGGGGGGTGGAGACCTGGAGCTCCCAGACAACAGCCAGCACCGGCTTGGCCAGCCTTGTGAGTGAGCCATCCTCAGGTGGAACTCCAGCGTGGAGCAGAGGCCTGTCATACCCACTAAGCGCCATCAGCAATGGACACGTGTGTGCAACATAAATGATTATTATTATTTTAGGCATTGGGTTCTGGGGTGGTCTATTACACAGCAATAGATGATTGATATACATAGGTGGTGAAGGAGCATGCAATTTAAGTCAGCCAGGCCTGGGTTAAAATACCTGATTCTGCTATTCCTGGGGTTGTGGCTTTAGGTACGTTACTCGGAATGGCAGAACTTGTTTCCTTGTGCATCAAATAGGATCAGTAACGGCTGCTGTTGTAATAATTAAAGGGATGCCATAGGTAGGTGTCTAATGCTGTGCTTCATCTCTCTGGTGGTGACAGCATTGTTTCTCCAAGATGAGCAAGTTGAAGTTTTGTAAAGAAAGAGTATATGTAGAGTACAGCAGGTCATTTGGAGATGAGTAAAAAAGACAGTAGGGAACAGTCAGAGGCTGAGGAGGGAATCAAGACTAAGTGGCTTCTTGAGAAGGTTGGAGTGAAATATGAAAGGGAAGGCTAGCTAAGATCAAGAGCTGGAAAGGTACCGATTTGGCAGTGGGGAGATGGCTAGTGACATGTAACACAATTGTGTCAACAGAGTGGAGCCTGAAAGCCTGCGTGCCAAGGGAGTAGCGAGAAGCAGCAAACAGTTGGCATTTACTTACACCTTAATTTCTAAACATGTATATGATATTCTTAAAGAACATGAGAATACTTTAAAAAATGTATTTATTCATGAGAGACACAGAGACACAGGCAGAGGGAGAAGGAGACTCCCTGCGAGGAGCCTCATGTGGGACTAGATCTCAGGACCCCAGAATCATGACCTGAGCTGAAGGTAGACACTCGTCCACTAAGCCATCCAGGCATCCTGAGAATACTTTTCTATTAAAAAGGTATATATCACCCATTTTAATGTCAATTTCAGTGGTTCTTTGCTCTAAAAATGCATCCAGGTGAATCTTACAACTCGTCACCACACTCTATTGGTTTTCCCTATGAGCTCATTTATTGTATTTATGGCTGTCTCTGTGGCTTGTTTCCTGTTTCATATTTACACTTAGATTCTTGATTTTTCAAAATGCCTTGCCTAATTATTACTACAGTTGTACATGTTGCTTATACTCTGCTTCCAAAATGAAAAGCACAGTGTACAGATAAGGTCATAATGGCCAGGAGACCAATGACCACGACCAGAAACAGGAGATCTGCTCTTCAGTTGATGAAATGAAACCATATCGTCACAAACTACAGAGGATTTCTCACTCCTACTTGATTATTGGTTGCTTTCAGTATGCACTTAACTGGTCAGAAAATATCCACTATTGTTATCTCAGATCTTTAAGCTGAAAGGAATGATAGGTCCCTCAATTACTAAAAAAGGGAATGGAGGCTTAGACAAGGTACTTGAGTAAAGTTATGGTTATTTACCTCCTTGCAGTGATTCAGTGACAATGATACAAACGTAACTACGGTAAGCTCATGGTGAAAAGCTAGTTTCCATATATCCTATTCTTGTTTTACTTTTTTGAAGACTAAATTTTCCAAGATGAGATGTAAAATCATTTCTAAGCCATCACATAAAAGGTCTTTAATATTCATTCTCAAACATTTATTTAGTCCCACCATGTGCAAGGCACTGCATTAGGTGGGTCTTCTAAAATATACTATACAAGGGAATGAAACATAATTTTTGGTTTAAAAAGCCAAATTATGAAAATGTAATATTTATTAGGCACTTATAAGATAAAAGGCACTTGCTAGAGCATCACCTCTGCAAGCTTTACACCTCTGTAAAATGTCTGGTTTGCTCAGTTGATTCTAGCATGATGCTAATGAGAGCCAGGTCAGGAGTTTAATTCTTGACAGCTTTTGCACGAGGAATGTTAATTCTGACCAACCACATCTAAGACCCAATCAGTTAGTTCCCACAATTGATGGGAGTGTGACTGGTAGGGCTAGTTGTGGCCTGGCGACCACACTGGACCTATGAGTGGAGATAAAAGGCAGGAAATGGAGCTGTCCAAGGTGGGCTCCCAGAATTCCCACACACCACAGGAAGTACCCATCAGCAAGGAGGATTGGGACATGGGACCTGGGGCTGATAATAAATCAGAATTTGTTTGGGGCAGAGTTTACCACTTCTTTCTGTATGTAGGGAGTTCAGGACACTCCTAACATCTCCCCTTTCACTCTCTGTCCTAGTAGAGGTGTCTTAACTGCCCAGTGAATTTGGGAAAAGTGAACTGGGCTTACTGGCCTCTTCTGTAGCTTCTGGGAACTAGATGCCTCCAAGGCAAGCTTGCAATAGCCCCACAAGGCAGTGACTGAGTGGATCTGTCTGCCTATTCTGGGGGTTGAGAAATAGGAAGATCATTTGCCTACAGATGCAAGCTACCTCCTCCAGGCTGCTCTTTATCAGTAACAAAGGTAGTATTTTGGCACTAATCATGTCTAGAACCAGCTCAGCAAAGCTGGCACTCTATACAAGACACAGGAAACCAAACAGGCACTCTCGCTAGGCAGAACTGCTCCAATATTGTCAGAGCAGAATGTGACTGCTCTTAAAGCTGCAATGTTCTGGAATATTTTCAGGTGACCCAGAAATTAAAGTTCAGGATCCCTGGAAATCCTTATGTCTATAAACCACACCTTTAACTTTAGCCAAGAAACATGTGTATGTTTGAACAAGTAAAGGGTGAGGGAATCTTCCAAACATTGCCTACAACCATGCTCAGAGCATGTGGCTTAATTTTTAATCAGCTGCGTTGTTAGGCATGGGACATCAGCAAAGTGGTATGAACATAGAACTGGGTCTGGCCTTTGTTGTCCATTGGGGGAAGGGAGTAAATATTTTTTTTCTTTCATCGTTACTTTGCCTCCTCCCTTCTGAGGTAGACTGATGTGGATTATAAAGAAACTTGTCCTCACTTTCTGCAGAAAAGGAGTCTGGTGGAGGGGATCTGAAGATGCCTGCATGAGAGTCAAAACGAGATTTTGAATGGCCTCTGAGTTGGCAGCCAACCTCCTGAAATCATATTGTCTGAAGTCCCTTGGAGTTTCTTTTCTGAGGACAACACGGCAGTCTATTTATTGGTTTCAGTTGCTATGAAGTGACCGTCCTCAGAAGTGAGGCTGTTGCCCTTAGCTACACATTTCTTTGTGGGCATAATCTTGTATCACACAGCACCAAATCAGCAGCTGGGAAAGGCAGAGATCCTGATGAAATATGAATATGATGATGATGAAATATTTTCCTAGCGGTAGCCTCCTTTTATAAGACAGGGTGTGCCTAATTCAGCTTGGAAATGACACATGACCTTTTCAAAGGAAAGGGCCGGCTTTATTTTAACACTGTCCTCTTCCCTCTCAAGTAGGGATTTGCTTTTTTGTTCTGAGATGTGTCAGTTAAAATGATGTCTTCTGAATAATCTCCCTCCTGATCGTCTGCACCTCAGGGTTGTTGGGAGGATTGCAGGGGATGATGTATCGGGTGCACCTGATAGCCGGTAGGCAGGGCTCATGTAACTACTGGTGCTTGTTGCTTGTTCTCATCTTGGAGAAGGGAAGACTCTGGACCTTGGTGCTTGCCTTCAGATAATGAGTATCTTTGTTTCATTCTCTCCCTCCTCCATGCCACCTCCCCTGCCCCATTCCACAGATTAGATATTTTCATTCAGGGTAATTGTAGAGTACATTTCTACTTTGAATTTCATTTGCTATCTTCTGGCATCTAAGCTCTTTGATCCCACTCCTTTGTTTTATATCTTCCATTTTGAGAAGAATCTTCAAGTTTTTGGTATTTTTTGGTGACAGAGATCCACTGTTAATTTATGCAACTTTCCATTACACGCCAATAAGATGTTGGGGGAGGGGGTATCTTCATGTGTCTCATACCCAAAATCTATTTGCACTCTTTTGTCTCTTTTTCTTAAGGCAGTTCCAAATGCACCCCATGTGTCTGACGTTTGAAAAGACTGTAAAATTAAAGCTACGTAATTATGAATACTATGAAAAAGGTTTTGACAACTTTTGGTGGCATTTAATTCAAGTTAAACTCCTCTCATTCAAAATAATAAGCATAATGTTACTTATTATGTAAATGAGGTGGCAAGGCAGATGTTTTTCATCCTGATGCATTCACTGGGGATTAATACATAAAAAACTGAGCAGGAGGGGCCTGTGTTCAACCTGGGAATTTGAATAAGGGTTGAGCAACAGGAAGGATGATTACTCTGGCTGGAGCTACTCTGTTCAATAGGGGAGCCAGTAACCACATGAGGCAATTTAAATATGAATCAATTAAAAGGAAATAAAATTAAAAATTAAAAGTTTCTCAGCCACTTTAGACATAATTCATATGCCCAATAGCCACAAGTTGCTTGTGGCTACTTATCAAAGAGCACAGATAGAAAACATTTCTATCACTTCGGAAAACTTATACTGGGCAGTGCCACTAATCACAGAGCTATGAAAACAGCTGGGCATGCTGTGGATTTCTCTTCTCAACTGGAACTTCATCCATGAGGGGTCTACAAACACTTAGAAAGGGTGTAGATCCATAAAGAGCCAAGAGATAAAGGGGTAGCAATCAGCTTGCTTCTGTGCTTCTTAAACTTTAAATGGGCAACCACATCACCTGGGGATCTTAAAGTGTAGCTACTGAGCAGGTCTAGTCTGGAACCTGAGAGTCAGCACTTAGATCTGGCTCCCAAGTGCTGCTGCTGCTGGTATGGGGACCGCACTTGGAGAATCACAGATTTACAGAATTGATTTTCAATCTTGCCTCGTTATCATTATTACTTGGGTAGGTTTAAAAACCACTGATGCCTAGCTCTCACCCCACCCCCAAATTTGACTGAATTAGTCTTGGGGCCGGTGGTCTGGGCATCACAGATTTAAAAAATCCTCAAGTGATCACTCTCCAAGTGATTACCATTTTAAGAACCATTAATGATGATAAAGCAAGTCTGTTAGGCCTGAGAACCTGAAGCACTGGCTGCACCTGGAAGTTTGTTAGAAATGCATATTCTCTGGCCCAGATCCTGTCCCGCTGAGTCATAACCTGCATTTTCAACAGCTTTCCCCAGGTGATACCATGCACCTTCAAGGTGAGAACTACTGTGCTGAATGGCCTTTTAAAGTAATAATTTATTGATCTATGCCAATGTGCTTTAAAGAAATCTTTCAAGTAACAAGTTCTTTTAGTCCCTAAAAATACTGCAGCATATAATTTAGTCCATCCTTATGCCAAATTACTGAGGTTTTATTAGACTGTCAGTGCACAAACTAGGTGGTTTCTGCTTGCATTGTAACAGAAAGTATCAATAATCCAGGCAGAGGGGGAGATTGTGGACGTTCAAGTCTCAAGCAGAAGCTCAAAAATAACCAAAGCTTTTAAGGAACTAGTTCTACACATTTGCATAAAATTTATTATTCAAGATAAAATGCTCTTTCGTTTTAGGTGAATGATTACTGGTGTGAGAAAACTGTATACTTCGAATCGATTACCAGAGATACAACATAGTTGTATTCTTAATTTCTGTAACTTCTCATTATGCGACACTGAGATCCTGGAGGGGAAGGCAGGAAGGGACAATAAGGTCTTAACAACAACAAAAACAAAACAAAACAAAAAAACAAAACTCTTTTTTTCTACCATTGTGTTTTCCTAATCAGTCTCTCCCAGTAGTATTTTAGGGGAATAGTGCCAAAGACAATTATAATGTAGAAAGGCCAACCATTTGATGTATTTATTAGAGCAGTGCTTCTCAAACTTGCATGTGGTAGGAATCCCGTGGGGAACTTGTTAAAATGCACAGTATGATACAGTAAGTCTGGGGTGGAACCTGGGACTGCATTTCTAACAATACAGGTGTCGGGATGCTACTGGGCCATTGACCACATTTTGAGTAGCAACGGGTTACTTGGTTCTTTCAGGACATGGTTCGGTAAACTCTCATCTCAATGACTCAAAACATCAAATGGTCTGGTGTAAATAATAAGAAGGGTGATTTGTGTTGAAAGTGCTGACTTGCTAATTTGAATCATCTAAGAGAGACATCAAAAGGTCAAAATTATTCATAGATCCATCATTATCAGGAGACTAATCGGGAAATGAAGTCATTTAAGGCAAAAGCAAAATAGTAACACAAATACCTCAGATGACTACCAGGGCAAAATTTTCAAAATGTTGCAAGCTGTCTGCATGCTTGAAGTAGCAATTTACATGCATAATTAGGTGCAATCAACAGTTTTGAAATGTAATATATTTTCTGAGCCCATATTTACTTATGACAGATGCAAAAAAAAAAATCTGTGTCCCCAAAAAATAGAAGGGCAGAGAAAGAAAAATATTTGCATTTAACAGTGGGACTCTTTACAAGCACATGCCTAAATTTAGAACAAATTTAGTTGAAGTATTGTATCTTTATTTTGATTTAATCTTCATTTAAGCCTTGAAAGAAGTTCACAAATACATTTGGAAGTGACAAGCATGTAAGAATAATAACTTACCAGTCAGCTGTTCCGAGCTCCTGTTGGACCTGACATGTAATTTTTACTTCTACACTGTGGAAGGAAAAATCTGACAAATTCAAAACTTTATTGCACAAAACACCACACTGACTTTCCTCCTGTCTTCAGAAGGGGCTTCATTCTTTAAAGATACAAAATATCTTTTAGAATAATTTACATAAAAAGATTAAGCTAACAATTTCTTCTTCTTAATCAAGGTCCTCAGATGGGTGCTCGAAGTGAATTTCTATCATCTTACTCTTTTCAGCATAACAGGCAGTGACTGTGGTGTGCTCACTACGCACTAACGCACTCTGCTGAGCACTTTACACCTACAATCTAATTTACTGTTATAAAAATACTATAAAAATTGATTTATTATAATATACTGGGGAGGAAATGGAGAGTAGGCACATAGCTCTCTGTTTTTGGCTGATATATTACTACATAAAGGGTCCTATGTCCTAGAGTGCATTTCAGACTAATGCCAGCTCATTTTATTTTAAATAAGATCCCAACTTAGGAAATGAGCTTGGAATCTGTTTTTCAGGAATTCTGAAGAAAAAGCGAACGAGGAATTCGGTTCCCAAACTTCTTTGCAAAAGCATGCTCACATTGCAATATCCAGATTGGCTGTCTACACGATTAAATTAAAGTGGCAGTTAATTTCTGTCACGTTTGTAGGCAGAGTCAGAGATTAAGAGATTGAACTGAAGGATAGGGCCTAATGATGTGTTCTTGTGTAACTGCATCTATTGAGACAGAGTCTTGATCCGGCAAAGTTGTCTTAAGGTAACGCAAAGCAGTCACGAACAATGCAATTTTCTAGTTTCATTAGGTAAGCGTTATCCGTGATACATTATATGCTATGGGAAAAAGGCCACCCTCTGCTAAGAAATGCATGAATAGTTCATTTATCTGCTGATCCATTTGGGGGCATTATGGAACTCAGAGCCCAGAACAATGGGCTCTATTTAATATTAAACAGGTTCTTAATAACCTGCTATTTCTCTCCACAGCTGCTGGAGGGTCCCTCCTGGACGTGCAGAGTCGCAGCTGGCAGTTCCCAAGAAGTTGTAAGCTACCCCCCCCCCCCCCCCCCCCCCCCCGGTACCAAGTGGTGTTGAATCTAGAAGTCGTGCCGCTCACCGGACCGTCGGTGGGCCCCGATGTAAGAGTTTCCGAGTCTAGCCTCGTCACCTCTATGTACCTCTCTCTGCAGACGCAGCTCGCCGCCGGCCGGGGGTCGCCCCCGGAACCTCGGGGGGACCTGCCCTGCGGACCCCGCCCCGGCGCGCTGCGGCCGAAGCCTGGCGGCGACCTCCCGCTCCGCCGTCCGCCTCCCCCAGCGACCCTCCCCGGCCGACCTTTACGCCCAAGTGGGGCGCGCCGCGAGCTCGCGTCCTCCGGGTCCCCGCGGGGCCCCACCCGTTCCCGGGTCGTGCCCGCGACCGGGCCGGAGGCGAGGGTAGGTGGGTTCCCTGCCCGGAGCGGGCCCCGGCCCCGGGCCCGGCCCGGCTCCTTCTTCACTCGGTCCAGCTCCCCAGCGCGGGGCTGCGCGGGGCTGCGCGGGGCTGCGCGGCGGCGGCCACCGGAGGACACACACGCACGCTCCGGAGGGCTGAGCCCGGGACACGCTCGGCGCGGGGAGGGGGGGGGAGGGGGCGGGCGGGCGCCGAGGCGGGGAGGCGGGGGGGCGGGGGGGGGCGCGCACCGGCCCCAGCCCCAGCCCCCCGCCCTCCGCCCTCCGCCCTCCGCGCGCCCCTCCCGCGGGCCTGCCCTCCTTTCCGCGGTCCTCCGCGCCGCCGGGGCGAGGGCGAAGGTGAGGGGTCGGCGCTTGGCCAGCGGGCGGGGACGGCAGGGCGCCCTCGCGCCTGGCAGCCCCCTCCCGCGCGATCCGCCCGGCCGTTCTTGCAGTAACTTTGTTCCGAAGGTCGGAGGGCAGGGGAGACGCCGAGGGGCCCCGGAGAGGCTGGGGAGCGCCGCGAATCTGGAGGCCCGGCCGGGGAGCAAGTCCCCGGGCGGCCCCGGGGCTGGGCGCGCGGCCGGGAGGCGTCGCCCCCGCCGCCGCCGCCCCCGCCGCCGCCGCCGCCGCCGCCGCCGCCGCCGGGATGCGCTCTGCCTAGCGGGGCTGCCGGGGGCGCCCGAAGGCCGCCGCTCCAAGGACACGCGGCCCCCGCTCCCCGCGCGCCCCGGCCCAGACGCCGCCGGCGCCCGAGCCGAGCGGGCGAGCGGAGCTGCGGGGAGCGCGGGCGAAGGGCGGCAGGAGGGAGGGCGCGCGGGAGGCGGCCCCTCCTCGGCGAGCCATGCGTGCCGCGGGCAGCTGAGGAGCCGCCGGGCGCCGCTGCCAAGTCCCCGCTCCGCTTTTGTCTTGCCCTCCAGTGAATGGGAAGATGGAGATGGATGTTGAGGGAGTTTCTCCGCGCCCGGAGCCCATCCCCCGCTCCCAGGGGGCTGGCGGAGCCTGCCAGGCGCCGCCACAGCCGCCCCAGCCCCAGCCCCAGCCCCAGCCCCAGCCCCAGCCCCAGCCGCAGCCGCCGCCGCCGCCGCCGCCGCCGCAGCCCCAGCAGCAGCCCCAGCAGCAGCCCCAGCCCCAGCCCCAGCAGCAGCCCCAGCAGCAGCCCCAGCAGCTGGCTCAGGATGAAGTGCCCGGCGAGAGTGCGGGCGCGGAGGACAGCGACGATCCCGAGGCGAGACCCGGCAGCGAGAGGGGCGAGAGCAAGGTAGGTCCACAGTGTTGGAGCTGTGACACCTTTTGAACAGAAGCGAGCATCTCTGGAAGTGGCTGTCACTGGAGCCCCTCCGCCCCCCCCACCCCTTCCCGGGTCTGTGTGGTGGTGGGGGTTGCAGATGTGGACAGGGCGTGAGATTGAGGGGAGTCGCCGGGAGAGAGTGACTTTCCGAACTGGAAGGCGCGCGCGCGTGTGTGTGTGTGTGCGTGTGCGTGTGCGCGCAGGGGTCTGTCCTGGTTTCCGTGTTCAGAGGTGTGTGCCGAGAAAAGTCTTCTGGTACCTGCGACGTGGTGCCCGGGGTAGAGCACAGCGTCTCCGGAGAGCCGTGCTGACAGACCTTTGCCTGTGCACACAGTGTAACCAAGGCTTATTTAGATGATGTAGGTCAAGGGGAAGCGTGTCTCCAGGAGCTCCCAAGTGGCTTCTGAGACTCCTTGGAGGGAGGTGACATCAACCTTAAGATGGCAACAATGGGAGCAAAGTTTGGCTCATTTGCAGAACGGGGAGCGCTGCCTAACCCAGCTCTAAACTCGAGATCCTCCTCCTCCTGCTCCTCCTCCTGCTCCTCCTCCTCCTCCTCCTCGGCGGGCACCCTGCTAGCTAGGAGGGCAAGGGACCAGGTGCCTGGCAGCAGATGAGCCCTGGAAATCTTTTGCAGCCCTGCTGTGTCATTGTAGACCAGGGGATAGCTACTTCTTACTGTGGAGAGGAGAGTTCTTCAGGTAATTGGATTCCAGTAAGAGATTGCTCAAATGCCATCATTCTCTGGTGCTGTTTCTTCTGTTGAGAAAATTGTAAAGGAAAGGAAAGGAAAGGAAAGGAAACGGCATAGAAAATACTGCCTTGGTAATATTATGAGAGTGTATTTATTACAGCTTGCTCTCTGAGCACAGTCTTTTTCCATTCACGCTTGGAGTTCCGTTTTGTGGAAGCTGGTGGTGTTCAGGTGTATCTGTGTGAAGTGTGCACATGTATTTGTTAATGCATTTTTGAAACTGCTAATCGTGGGGAAAAGTTGGTGCAACAGAGCAGGATACCAAAGAAGGGTCAGTCAATATACTTTCTCACTTTTGATCACTTAAGGGAGTGTGCAAGAAAATAGCTACCTCGCCTGGTTAGAGGAGGATTGCATGGCACCGAGTGCTCCTCCTCGGAGATTTTTGCCTTGGTTTCTGTTGGACCTTCCTGAAGGTACTAGTGGATTAAACAAATAATACCCGAAACACATTGGGGTCACGTTGAGGGTTGCTGTTCTGTATTTGGAGACAGGCTCACTTAACAAGTTGGTATTTGCAAATGTTCAGAATTGTTTTGAATTGTGAAACTGAGGTAAGGATTGGCATTGTTGTTTATCTACCCAAATCAATATTGTGATTTAAACGGCAGTCTACCACGGAACGGGAATTTGAACACACACTAATGGAACCGGGGTGCCTTACAAATGCACACAAGATTTACATTGTAAAAACTATGATGAATTTTAATATTCTGATACCCTCAGCGTTCCAGTTGCTCTTGATTTCATGAATGTTTAATTCTGTCATGACTGCATATTTACTACTTTAAATGACTGTGTGCACTCAGTTATATGAAATAACCATAACCGAGTATGATATTACTTAATCCAACTTTAAGTGTCTTTTGCAGAATAGGTGGGAATAATTAAAATATACAACCAGTGCTGCTATTTCCATATTGTTGGTTCATGTGCCCTGAGCATGAGAAATTCCTGCCATCAGCAAAAATCTTCTGTGCTTATTTGTTTCCCTTTGATGCACCATGCAGACTGTCTAATGTTCTACCGGTTGTGAGGAATAAGGAAGGCAATGCACTACAAAATTACAGCAGGTGAAGACAGGCCTGAAAGCCGGTTGATTACATATCGTTAATTAGCATGTTCAGATAATTGAGTATTCCACTGATGTGATTTGCTTTCCGTTTGTCTGCAATTTCTTGAGGTGGAAACAAAATGCTACTTTTTTTCCCCCTCCAGGTGTTTGCCTTAAAAAATCATGTTGCATCCTTCTCTTAAGCCAGAAATCAGCTGTGTTAACCCTTTGTTTGCCTCTGCTACTGGCTCTTCTGAGTTTGAGGACAGTTGCTGTGTTTCAGACTTTAATAACTCTTTTTGTCTTTCATGGATACTAAGGCAAGTCATAAATTGATTTTTCGTAGCAAATCCTGGTTTCATTAGCGGGAGTGGGCTTTTGGGTGTCTGACCAAATTATTCTACTAAAATATAAATGGAAGACAAAGTGGGATAAAGTGGTATGTGGTTTTACCAAGCTGTTTGGGGTGAAGCGAGGCTATTATTGTGATAGGATTTAAACACAATAATGTACAGTTGTAATGCAGTGGACTTGTATTTTCACTCATGAAAGTAATGAAATACGAAATTTGAATACTCTCTTATCTTAAATCTTCCCCCAAGGAAGGGTACTGTAAATAGGATGTCAATGGATATGACTCCCCTCCCCATCAAATAAGGTATCCAGGGAGCAATGGCATTTTTTTTTTCAGATTCTGATTTGGGATCATGATTTTTTTTTTTTTTGTCATGAATTTACCCCAGTTGTCTTATTGGAAAGGAAATCAGAGCTTAATGCCAGATCAGCTTGTCTCCTCAATTGCAGGTGCATGGTTATACATTCTCAGAAAGTCTCTGAAATAAGAGGAAAGGTTAGAAAACTGGATCAGTCAAAGGATTTTTTACACCAGAGTTTCATGATGTGACTGGCACTTTCTGTTCCTAGAATAACAATGCCTGATTCCTCTCTACCAACTACTCTTTGGAGAAATGTTAAAGCAGCTACATACTATATACGCTTTGATTCCATGAATTGGCGTCGACCCTAAATCGACCATTTATTCCTCCTCTGTGCTTGCAGGCAGGTTTATATTAAACCTTCACAAAAAACCAGTTTCCTCTCCTTGCAATGACATCCAAAGACAAAGTGGTCCCCCCTTTGGGGACCTAGAGATATTTCCTCACCCATTATCTCAAGCACTTCTTTCTCGTGTCAGAAAAGAGTTTCTCTAATCTGAACAGAACCTTTTTCTTCTGGTCTTGCAGATGCATGGTCATGCCCTTAAGTAAGAGACCTCCTGTCCTCGAAAGAGTTCTCCACCCTGGATTTGATCATCCTCAAAACTTTCTTGCAGAGTTCTCTGCAGGCCTTAGAGATTTCATTTTTTAGTGCCATTTAAGACTCTTTTGAAATGCTTTGTTTATGCTGAATAACTCTTGGATAAATATTTCTGAAACTTTCTTTGGAAAAGTTAAAGTTCCTTATCTTGAGGACCAGCACCCAGTAACTCACTCCATCTGTGCTATCTAGCTACTTATACAAATGTGTGAATTCTTCCCTTGATCCCAGATGAGTGATGTAAATCATTCTTTCTGGTCTCCTGTAGCTTCATCTTGTTCATGTGTTCTCCCCTTTTCTTACCCCCTCTTTCCCCCCTCTTCAACACATTCATGTGTACACACACCCCCACACACCATTTACTATTTACTGTGAAATGTATGTTCATGGCCCACGTGTGAGGTCTCACGACCAAGCTTTCCTCTTTGTTCAGTTCTCATTAAAGCCTTGATTTGAAAAATACATCTTCTTGTGGTTTTGGACCAGAGAGACTCAGCGCTGTTGCTACCAGTGATACTTCACTGATGAATGTGACTCAAGATTCTCATTTCAACTGCTTTTCATCAGTGACACTGTCCTAAGTCATCAGTCTTATGGAGGTTGCTGCAGGGAATCTCTTACCCAGTCTGTCAAGACATTTCTAAAATCCTTTAATTTTGAAATAACTTTAGATCTATAAAAAGAGTTGCAAACATAAGACGGAGTTCCCATAAACTCTTTACCGAGCTTCCTCTACTGTTAACATCCTTCTTAATCGTGCTACGTATATCACAATGAAGAAATTAACTCTGGCACAGTACTATTGGCTCAACTTGTCCAGTCAACGTTTAGTGAGCGAATTTGTAAACATATTGAGGTTTTTCATTTTATCCTTCTAGGATTTAAGACTTTCTTTAAACCTGAAAGGTCTTTGAGAGAGTATTTAAGAGCCAAATTTAATTGGCATTAACTCTCCCCCCTTTTTTTCTGCTGGGTAGGAGCAGCTTGTGAAGTACAAAGGTTGAGGTCCCAGGGGATCTGCATCCTGCTGCAGTGAGCCCTAGGGGAATTACAACTTTGGCAAAGCTCTTGAGTGCTGTTAACTTATGGGGAGTGATAGTCTTCTTTTTTTATTTTATCCTGAAAAACATTCCTGCGCCAGGTAAGATAGGGTTTGTCAGTGCACAGAGGACAGCAAAGTCTCAAGTGGCAAGTAGAGGAGAAAAGGCAATTGATAAAATCAAGACAGTTCACTTTGATGCCTAACCCCTTGGGTGTTTGTTTCTGGCATGAAAAATAATGGAAGCCCTTTCATTTTTGTATTATATTAGCCAGGTGAACTCTGATTTCCAGCACAGAAGCAGAAACTTGTCCACATTAGGCACCATGTCATTGTGATTAAGAGCGTTGGCTTTCTGATTAAGAGTGAAATCAGAAAGACCTGCATTTGCTGCTGGCTTTGTCTTTCACTTGGTCTTAACCTCAGTAAGATCCTGACCTTTCCAAACATCAGTATTTTCATCTGTAAAATAGGAATAATAATTATTATTACACAGCTTGAACGAGATAAACTATATACAGTTTGTTATCCAGTGCTTCATACGTACTGACTGCTCAGCAATCGTTAATAATTGTGATTATTATTACTACCCTTGCGTCAGGGTTCTGAAAAGGAGAATGAGTTGGGGCTCTACGTTCACCTAGAATTTTCAGTTTCCCAGAGGTTTGTGGGGCTGGAAATGGTACAGACACACTATTCACCAGTCAGACCAAGTTGGTGCTCATTGACCTGATTCTGTTCTGTGGGCCTTGAGGTATTTTTCTGGTGGGCAGGAGTTTAGGAAAGAGTTACCCTTTATCTTTTTT